CCAAAAAAATAGAAAGAAAAAGAAAAAGTTTTCCAGTTTTGCCACTAACTGCACTCACATGATATAAGGGCAGAATACAGCAAAAAGAAGGCCAATCAGATGCAGAAAGAAGAAATAGAATCCAGACTCCCAAATGATTAATACACTCCAAAGGACAATGCATACCTTCATATGCCTGCCAAGCTAAAATGGATCTCTTGAATTGATACTTGGGTCTAAATATGGAGATTCCTTCATTCATTGTGTTGAAATTCAAGATCTAGTTTTCTTTTCAGATGTGATCTGTCAGCACTGCACAAGAATATTGAAAGGAAATCAAACTTGGACATTTAGTACAAGAATATCTACTCAAATTTCAAACTAAGTTCAATAGGGGCATGACAGTGATTAAGAGCTTGAGCCTCCATACTGAAGGTGTCAAGTTTGAATCCTAGTATGGGTGGGAGGTGTTTGCAAAGGCGACAACCATCTCATTTTTATATAAACTATCAGTCAAAAGGTGCAAATTCCCCCCCTAAAATTATTGCATTGAAGCAAATTGCCACCCAAAAAAATTGACACAATTTACCACCCCAAAATTCCGTTTTCAAGACATCAGCCCAAATTTAACAATTTCTGTTAAATCTCTATAATACTTCAAGAACAATAATTTAATGGAGTTTAACACCAAACATTAAATTTGGGCCGATTTTTTAAAAATGGAAATTTGGGGTGGTGAATTGCGTCAACATTTTTTTTGGGTGGTGATTTGCTTCAACACAACAATTTTGGGGGTAATTTGCACATTTAGCCAAACTATCATCACACATACCAAAAAAAAAAAAAATCTATTCAAACTAAACATTTAAGTTTCTTAAAATATTCTATGTAACAAAGCTGAAACTAAACTACTTTTCTTCCCACTAACATCTATCACAAAGGACAGAGAATCTTCAACAATTACCATTTCTGTGTTCCACTTTGCAAGTATGGTATCCAGAACACAACAGTGAGCCACTGACTAGGAAAACCCTCTTTATCCCATTTCTTTGTCACATACAGCATGTACAAAATCTTCTACTACTTCTACTACTAGTGCAGGCAAGTCTTAACTTCTCAAAATCTTTAGTCATTTATGAGAGATATGTGCATGTAATCTTTTCTCTTATAAATAAAGTCCACAATCTCATAAAAAAATGGAAAAAAATGTTTATCAACCGGAACTATGAAAAATTAGGAGAAAAGACACTTCAAAACTACATTGTTTTAATAAACTCTCATTAAAAAAATACTAAGATAACCTATTTCTAAAGCAAGAATGATACTGTTTTGATCTTTTCTCTCCTGATCCTTTATTAAAACGACATAGTTTTGAAATGTTTTTCAGCCTCATTTTTTGCAGGTCAGCTATTAAACATCTTTCCCATATACTATTATTTACTATATATATATATATATATATATAATTTACTTACTATACAATATAAGAGTAAGAATCAAGTTATACTGATATAAGTTTAAAATAACTCCTATGTCAATTTCCAATCATACATTTTAAAAATTTACAAGGGTCTTTTAAAAATTCAAATATTACATTTGAAATAAGTAATTAAGAATTAGTGTAAACTTATACTTATGTAAATTGATATTAACTCATATAATAAATATATCAGTATGCAAAATATGTATTAAAGTTTGAACTAACTCTAATGTTAAGAGCCACTTTTGGCATCCAAAGAATTTGGATTTGAGTCTTTCTTAAATCAAATGTAATTCACTATGTATCTAAGTTATAATAAGTATATTTTAATACATCTAACATAAGTGACCTAGTAGCCATCCCCTTTGAGAGAAGATGCTTAGACATGAAGTTTGGATTCTATATCTAGTCACTACCAACCCCCTCACCAAAAAGTTTTAAAAGTATATTTTTGTTGGGAATGGACCCAACATTCAGATTGGGCCATGCCCAGTAGGCCCAATTGCTTATCCACGAGCCCCAAAATGAAAATGCATCTATACACTAACTCAGGCATATCCACGTGGGTACTCATACGTGGACCAATCAAATGCTTACATGTACAGACTCATGCTATCATCCGAGGGCTATAAATATCTCCCACCTACCTCTATTCAAGGTAATAACTCAACTACGCTTCTTTTTTTGCAATTATTTTTGAGAGTTTTTCTCTTTAGAATATTGAGTATTACTAAGTTGAGCGTCGAAATGTTTCCCTCGAGGAAACATCTTCGGGTTTTTCAAATATTGAAACAGTTGAGGATCTCTATAGTGTAGGTCCGTAAAGCTGCCCAAACAATTTTAATACAAGTAATATCATTAAAAGTGTTGCACATCTAGTGGCAAATGATTTCTTATGTGTACAAGATGGAGAGAGTTTCAGTCGTTCATCTTTTTATACCAACGTCTTCAACCATTTGGTTGGCCGATCTTTTATTGGTTTGTATTGGTTTTATTGGTTCACATTGATCTAATTTGATTAAATCACTTAAGCAGTTAAGGGGTCTAACTAGACTAAACTTATCACTAGTCATTGATTTGACTAATTAGACTGACCAATCCGGTCTAGCGTTGAAAACACTGGATTATATGTTCAAGTTAAATTTGTCACATCTTCCAAAGATGTTCAAATTTAATTGTCATACTTTAAATTTTTATATATAGATATTAAAAATAATTCAACAATTAGATCTATTAATAATTATGTGTTATTTTATAAATTAAATTCAAAGTTCAAGTTTTGAATGCAACATTGAAAAAATTCATTTTTCTTAAATACATTAATTTAATGTAAAAAGTGCGCTCTTAAAATTATTTTAAAAATGAGATGGAATTTTTTTTCAGAATTTTTATCCCTTAAAAAGACTAAGTGAAGGCATGTTTATCGAAGGGCTTTGAAGGGAAATATGAAATTTAAAAATCTAATATTTGAGTTTTTTGAAGGTTGTAGTTGTCTTAATAGCTTAGAAGAGCTGTTCAATCATGTTACCTAGTAGGTCATCCATTACAAGGATAGCCTAACAAACTTTACTATAATTCTCTTTGGAAAGAATAATTACTCCTCTAAGATGTCACTTAAAATGGATCGTTCAAATAATCAAATAAGTGATTCCAGTTTATGAATTGAAATATTTGTTATTCAAACTTTTCAAGATGTTTATTAACCATATTTATAAGGTAAAATAAAAAAAAAATCATTTCTAACTGTTAGCAAGCATTCAATACATATTATAGAATATTGAAATTCCAAAAACTAGTTGTTATTGTCCAATAAAAAGCAGAATCTCAACTCCTAGCCCCCAAAAGTAAAATCTTGAAGTTGGAAGTTGATTGTTCAGAACATCTCTATAACTTAGCCAAATTTAAGTTTCAATCCAAGAACCGGTTCTTGACCAAAGAATTAACTCTTCAACTCATATTTGTAATTTTCCAGCAGTTTCTTCGATCTTATTCCACAAATTACACCTCAAATCAAGAGCCCCAAGAAGAGGCGAAAAATAAAAGAAAAAAAAATCATTAATTGAGCCATTGGGGTAGATTAATTGTCCATGGGAAGCCAACACAATACCAAACCATAAGTACTACACATATCCAATCAATTGATTAGATGTAATAATCTCCCTAATGATCCATAATTAACAAATTTTACAAACATTTTCAAAATGTATTTTGTCTTATTTTATAAGAAAAATTAGCCAAATTTTTTATGTTATTCTCACCACGCCAGGCCCAAATATAATGTTATCATAACTCTCTTCCCCTTCAGTTTGTGAATGAGACATGAGAAACATCTTCCTCACCACCCATCGCAGCGTTAGAGGAACACCACGGATCGTCGGTGATGAACTGCATCCATGAATCATCTTTATCTTCCTCTTCCATGCCAGACGACGATGCCACGGGAACATCCGGCGACAACGTCTCTGTTTCATTGATCACACCTTGGGAACTCTCGATTAATGATATACTACATTGCGCTTGCTCTTCCATTTCTGAACAAATTCCATTTTTCTTGAACACCCGACACAATGCATAAGAGTCCTACAAATAAATTAAAGCATATATAAGAATTTTTTTTTAATGAATTATACAAGAAATAATATCAAATTTTCACTTATTTCAAGATTTGAACATAAAATTTTTAATTTTAGAATCTCAGACTCTCTACTACTTAACACATCTTATTAAGCATATATCAAATCATAATATAGCATAATGAACATCTTTACCTTAAAAAAAAATCATAAAAAATGCTAGCTAGCTGCACTTGAGCTTTGATGCATTTTTCCTTTAAGAAAAAAATTAACAAAAAGAAAAAAGAAAAGAAAAGAAAAGAGAGACCAATGAGATCCTGAGGTGCTTCTTAACCGGACGAATTGCCGAGTGTACAACACTCCTCATTATCATAATGTAAGACGAATTTAGAAACGATTGGCTTATGGTGGCGTTTTGGAATAAAGTGAAAAGGTAGGTTACAGCATGAAAGAGAAGTGGGGACTGGTTTGGGTATATTTATAGCATGAAAATCTACAAATTATTGGATTAGGCATATTATATAGAATCTAAAAACTGGATATCGAAGGACTTGAAAAGTTAAAGAAAGAGAAATTAAGGGGCTAGAGAGGAGATTGAGTCCTTATGAGTATATTGCCTTTGTCTTATTAAGGAAGAGAAAAGTAAACCTAAACTTTGTCACCCTCAGACAGATAGTAGCAAGCAAAGAATATATGTCACCTCACCTACTAGCATCTCAACACAGACACATTATTAAAGAATTAATTAATAAATAAAAAGTGAAGAAAATTCTTAGATTCAAAAGTTCTTAAACTTCCATGCAAGTCATGCAATTTTCCACAGCCGTACATTTTTTTTCTAGGTAGATTAATTTATTTAAATTTTAATTATTTTAATAAGAAATTAAAGTAAACTACAATTTTTTTTTAAATACATTAAAGGGTTAATTATTTAATATTATAGATATTTAAACATTTAAAATATTAACATCAAATTTAAAATTTAAATTAGCAAATACAAATTCAATTAAGTTTTTGTTGGTGTATTACAGAATTTGATGTGAAATGAATGTAGAACCATGTGCTGCGGACTTGGAAATGATGAGGCTTTACTATGCTTTATGTACTTTGATGCAAAAGGGACGGTTAAAAACTAAAGGGAAGAAAATGCTTTTTTTTTTTTCTCAAATTGTGTTGAGGTCCAAAGCTTAATACATGCTTTGAAGTCAAAACAGAAGCATATTTTTATCGACTCGAAAAAATGTTCTAATTATTGTTAAAAAAGCTACAAAAGTAGATAAAAGAAACTTCATCAATGGCTAGATTGTAGGATTTGACGTAGACTTCATTAATTCTTAATGACGCATTATTTGAGTATCTCCCTTCTTCCTGAGATTCATATATAACCCTATGTTAAAAAATAGAAAAACTGGAAAAAAAAAAGAGAAAAGAAAAAAATTAATACCTTTCTATTTTTTGTAATTCAGCTTCTAGGATCATAAATCTTACTTTCCCTACCTTTGCCTAGTATTTTTCTACAATAATTTTCAAATTAACTACCCAAAATTCTTATTAATCTAGTTAATAGATTCATCATGAGTTTTAGCTAATAAATAGAAAGATAAATTTATAGTATAACAATGAGGGTGGATTATTAATTTTTCATAAAACTATAAATAATAGTATAAGATATAAATTGAAAAGATATATGTTATTGTTTGATCCATACTTTAGAGACATGATTTAGATTAGTAGTTGTAGAACAAGACTAGAGAAAGACAAACTAAATGTTTGGACTAATAAATATTTTCTAAATTTAAAACCTTAATTTCCAGATAAAAATCAAGAATTAAAATAATATAACCTTTGTTTAGAATTGGCAATTTTCAGTGAACCTGTTGTCCCAAAAGCTGTTAGCAAGTGTTTAGCACGAAGTGATAGCATATCCATTATCAATTTTCTATCAACAAAGGAAAAAATATATAAATAACTTCTTGTGATATTCATTAACTTTATAATGCACAAACTACCTGAATTCCTGTGGTGTCCTCGCACTCCTTGTCGTCGAGGCGATATTCATGCATTACCCAGTCGGTCCTTATGCCCTGTGGCGCACGTCCTCTGTAGTAAACCAATGTCTTCTTCATTCCAATGGCTCGATTCTGGCTCGTGACTCTCCTGTCTTTCCCCGTCGACTTCCAATATCCAGCCCTCGTCGCTCTGTTTGTCCTGAATCCATTCGGATACTTCCTGTCCCGTGGCCCGAAAAAGTACCACTCCGGATCTCTACTCGGTAAAAATGATTTCTCTATGTTTTAACAAAAGACAGGTGGTTAGGATACTGTTTCTGAAACCCCATAACACATGTTCTATAACATTTTACAAAAAACAGAAAAAAGATATATATACATATACCAGCTAGCTCCCATGGCTCACATTTGTAGAGATCAACCTCAGGAATGATGTCGAGTTCGATTTCTTGGCCGTTGATCTTCCTCTTGAGATAGTAATTGACAAGCTCTTCGTCGGTCGGATGGAACCTAAAGCCAGGAGGTAATCCGACCGGCGCCATAATTGTTCTCTTTACCTCCTTAAGATGTGTCCCCTTCTTCTCTTTTGCAAAGCCTTTTCCCTTATCAGCCCTGCAATGATGATATATATAGAAGGATTCAAAGTCCCATCGATTTATTTTTCGCTTTTCTTTTTTTTGTTTGCTCTTTATTAGATTCTTGGACAAACGTTTCTAGGAAGCCCTTATTGCTTTCTACACCATGAAATATATACTTTATCATAAATCTATTATTTACTCCGACTCATGCTTTTCTTCTTCGAATAATGGATTGGTATTGGTTTGGTCATAAATTTGGTTATATATATATATATATATATATATATATATATGAAGATTAGAGTAATGCATTAGACCAACTTTTGGAAAGAAAAGTTTAGCTCAATGAGTATCGTGATTAATAATATTGCTTTGAGCTGAGTGTGCTTCCAAAGTGATCAATTTGGTAGAAGACATGATTCACTGCTTTGAATCTTTATTTTGATCTAAAATCAGATCTACCTGCAGTCCTTACTTCAGGTCTTCTTTATTTTTCTTTTCTTTTATGGGTTTTAGTGGCGAGCAATGAGGAGTGATGACTAAGGAGGAGTTCTACTTTTAACCTGTGAGTTAACAGTCAAATGGGTTAATTTTGTGTGGAAAGTCGTGATTAAAGGCATCTAACCTAAACCATAAGTGGATTGGCTCTTTATATTTAGGACCGTGATTGGTAACTTTAATTTGTTTAATATATTGTATGATATATTTATTAGAAATTATTATTTTTTGATATTAAATTAATTAAAAGTAAACTTAAAAATGTAATAATATATATAAGATCCAAAAATTAGTTAAATTAATTGTATTTATATTACATTTGAAGACTTACTTTAATAAACAAAATAATAACTTTTATATTTTTTTCAATTCCATCTATTATCTTTAGATACATTCAAATTCATCTACGTACCATCTTTTACTTTCATTTCAGTTTACTCTAGTCTATTAACTTCTAATCACAATATCACTTCATTTAGTCAAATTGATTTTTAGCCATATCTTTTATAAATTTTTACCCCTTAAAATTAATTTTAAGATAAAACTACTTGTGTGAGGATAATAAATTTCTTTTCACCATATGAGAGTCTATAGTCATTATCATATACTACTTTAACTTTTCCTTTTGACAATTCTCGTTTATAGTAGAAATCATAATTATTGACATACTTTAAGTTTGCACAATTTGTCATGAATTGCTTTACTAGTTGGAATTACTCTATTTTAATTTTGATTTAACGTTTTTATTATTTTTCTATTAAAACTGATGAAAGTTTTGTACAGTAAATCATTCTGAACTATTTTACTAAGTTTATAAATCATTTAGAAAGAATACCAACTTTCTAGATTAAAATGAAATTAGGTTAATAGTTAACATATTAATAATTAAATTAAGCCACATTTTAATAATTGAATTGGAACAAGTATTATCGACTACAATAAACCAAATATGTACCTATAATTGTTTTAAAAAAATTATATTAAAAAAAATATTGTTAGACAACTTTTTATTTATTTTCATATTGTAAAGATGATACATACCAATTTACACGATTTGCTAAATGAAAAGAGTTGATATTGATAAAATCACTAATACGTAAAATTATGAAATTTTATTAAGAATATAAAAATAAATAAAAAGTTGTTTAAAAACACTTGTTTATGATATAATTTGGTTTTTATTTTTTTTAAAAAATAATTCGTACACATTTAATTTAACATATTTTATAACATTTATCTTAATTCAATTATTAAAATGTAATATAAGTACAATTAATTCAATCAACTCCTACATCTTACATGTATATATGATTGTATCTTTAAGTTTGTCTACATTTAATTTTAGATTAAAAAAATAATTTTTAATAAATATACTATGTAGTGTATTGACCTTGATTATGTACCATGATTTTTTTTAAGGTCTTTCAAGAGGTAGCTTAATTAATTAAGAATTTAGAAACTCCAATATAGAAGCCTCATGTCAAAACCTAGAAGGGTGGAGAAAGATTCGGCAAATTGAGAGTTTTTATTGTTATTATTATATGTTGGTTGCACAACTGAAGGCAATTCTTTCTCATTCTTTATTCACATTCCACCCACATGTCATGCGATTAAAATTTAGAATCTCTCATTTTTAACAGAAAAAAATTACCACTAAATTATTTAAATCGTTTGTAAAAATAAGAAGGTTATCCCTCCAAATATAGCTCATTAGATAAATCAAAAAAATTATTCTTTAAGTGAAGGAGAACAAGATACAATTTAGTTATAACAAGTATTCCCAACCAATAAGTAAATAAAAAAAAATTATTTTTTAAGTGGAGGAGACAAGATACAATTCAGTTATATACAACAAGTATTACCAACCAATAAGTAGATTGATCATGCCTTTAGTTGAGGGATCACTGAAAAAGAAGGGGAGACTTGGGAGAAAAGATATTACCAGCTAATTCTACTCTAATTATCATCTTCATCATAAAATTCTACCCTATCATTGAAAAATATATAAAGCCTGCCGCGAATTTTTTCACTACAGTGAACTGGCCGCATTATTTGAATAGAGTATATGGCATCTTACTTACTGCTTCTTCGTTTATCGAACCCCTGAAGAAAGGAACAAAAGATACGTATAGCTTTTAAAACTTGAGATAAATAAAAAATTCTCTTAAACTTTATGGTTGTTGGTTAATTGCTAATTAATTCTGCATGAATTTATCAAAAAAATAAAAATAAAAAAAACATTATGTATGAATTAGTTAGTCAAACAAGGAATGAAAAGTCACCTCAAACTGCTTTTTGAAGATTAACCTCAAAAGTTAAATTTATTAGTAAGTAAATGTTATCTTGTAAGTCAAGTTTAATGTTAAAATCTAAGGATCAACACTTAAAAAAATTGATTTTTTTAAATACATCTTATTAATATGTGTTGCATCTTTAAAATTGTTTGGGGGCAAAATTAGTCTCAATGGAGGCAAATGTTGGACGAAACATGGATAAGCATGCCTTATCATCCAAAAGGAACTAGAAACAGGAAGGACTTGTGGGGTCGATCTCACGTCTTATAGAAAGGAGAAATACCAAGAATGATAAGGGATAACTAACTCTACAACTAACAGGAATGAGAAAAGTCATTCCACATTACTCTAGTTTTTCCATAGCTTTATTTAAAGAGAATAAGGAGTAAGGCTGAAATGGCTATATGACTTTCCAATTCTTTTTGAAACATATGTTGGTTGAATTCACAGATGGTGGGTGAGGGCTTAAAAGACCCTATATTTACATTGCGTTCCCACATATTTTTCCTTGGGGTGGGTAAATTTTCCTATAAAAAAATTAGGGAACCGTCTTTTTGAGATAAAACCAAAAAAAAAAAAAAAACCCTACAGTTTTACCTTCTAATTTATCCTTAAAGGACTCATCCGAAAACTATATGCACGCAATTGATAAGGGAAAAAAGAGTTTAGGATTTAGTTTACAATGGCAACAGACTTCAAGGGTAAATTTGAATTAATCTCTTCAAATGTTCTATGACCATGAAGAAATTGTAATACCAAACAGTTAACTCTTTGATGTATTAAAAAAAATTGACTATGAGAAGACAAGATGCAGAAGGAATTCTAATCTCACCCCTAATAAGAGTGAGATTTTTACTTGGTTTCTTGAGGGCCTGGTGAAGGGCGATTTCAAGGTTTAGAAGTCGTCTGGGAAGTAAGGGACCAATTTGTGGAGGTTAGGAATGGAAAGGGGGTGGCCGTACTGTACTTGGATACTGCGATGGCTACTGGAGGTGGCACCACTAAGGCAGCGGAGTGGTAGTCTGTTGGAGGCTTTCCCTTTCGGTGCACGGTTGGAAGTTGAAGATGTGAATTGGGATATCTGCACTGGAAGTCCCTTAGCTTTAGTAAAGTTTTAAGCTTAGTCTTCTATTTTATTTTAGTAGGCTATTTAGGCCATTTAGGCCTGGTGCACTAGTCACCCAATAAAGCCCGGGTATCATTCAGCCCAATTTAGGCACTAGGGACTTCTACACAGGACATTACATTAAGGGCTTGCCTTTTTGTCCTAATTTGTATTGATCCATCTGCCGACGATTATTCTGCCATTTTGGGTAATGGGTACCCTACATTATTAACCTTGTGGACTCTTATTGGGTTTAATCCAGATACGTTGTAGGTAGGCTTCCCGAGCCTTGAAGTTACTTGCTACTTTGGAGGGGTGATGAATTCTTCTTAGTCCTTTTTTTGGTGAACCGCTATCCATTTAATTATAAAAAAGAGTTTATTATTAAATAAATATATATAATATTATGAGTATATTTTAAAAAAAATTAATAATACAATGACATGCCGTAACTACAACCTTCCAAGATATGTCTACAACCTTACAGTAACACATGACTTTGTAACTATATTATTTTTGTTAAAATTACGTAACTTTTAGGGTTAGGGATTGCAAAATTTTTTTCAATCACAACTGATAAATACCATTCTCTTAACTCTTAACTCTATATTCTATTCAACTTTAAATAAGATTTTTTCCTTAATATGGCCCCTTCAACAATATTCTTGCATGATCATTTGCGTAAAACCAAAGTTGGGAACATTTAATCAAATATACAATTATGGGATTAGATCTTCTATGTAAAAACTATAAAGACAGTACTATGTAAATCTTCTATTAAGTATATATACTACACAATCATGTGTACCGTACATGAAAATTATCTATTGACTAGTGTACTATTTAATACACCTAAAGTGTGTTTTAATTTGTACGCAAGATTTATATTCAAGGGGTAAAAAAATAAGTGTGCGTGTACCTAATAGATTAAATAGTGAATATCAATTTTCAATATTTAAGTACAAAAGTTTAAACCATAAATTTTTAAGCAAATGACCCATACATGTGCTTGCTCATGCTAAAATCAACTTCTGCATTTTCTAGTACAGCCTTACTCTTCCAAGAAACCGAAAAAATCTTCCCAAAGCAAACGCATTCTTCCACGTTCTAATCCCTTTTTTTGTTTTTTTTTTTTTTGTTTGAAATTATGCCATTCTTCTAAGTTGCATTTATGACAGTGACAATCTGTATGAAACTTGGGAATTTGAAAAGATATTCCTTATTTCTCTCATGAAATGCAAAAAAATTGAAGCTTTCTTCATATATGATTCAAAAAAAAGAAACAAAAAGTCTCATACTAAGGGGCTTCCATATTCTTTACATGACATACAAATTAAAAACTCACACACAAGAAGAAGCCAAACGAAAATTATGCATAAATTGGTAATTTATATTTTATAATATTAGAAGTCAAAATTAGTGTAGTATTCTCTTTTGTCAAAATTAGTGTGGTTCTGCTGATTCATAATTTTATGCAAATTTATTCTAACGAGTTTAATGATTATAAGTTCTTGACGAAAGTATATACCATTTTCTGGACTTAAAACGACCAAGTACTTACCCTACTGGATGCAGCAATAGATCAAAGGAATAGGCTGCAACATTTAGGAGAGAACATCATGAGCTACACTTCCACAGGTTATGTATCTATCTAAATAATCAATAGCACACGGTCAAACCTAATATGAAAGAAAATATTCACTCTTGTAAAAAGAACAAATACATGCCTCATGTCCTAGTCTGCAGAAAGAAGAATATCTGTAAATTCATGCGAAAATCATTAACAAATAATTGAGATGAACATCTGACGGTAATGTTTAAGAATCTTCACCTAAAGCAACACGAGACAAGCTATTCTCAACTCTCAAAGCAACAGCTAATCATTTTTTTCTCTCTTTTTAAAATGGAGAAGAAATAATATTTAGAAAACTTTGCCTTCCTGAGGTTAATACACAGCAAAAAAATTTAGAAAGGAGTCATTCTTTTCCCTCTTTCTTTACATTATTTTGAGCCCTAGCTAAAATCCTGTAAAATTAAAGCCAACCCGCAG